TTGTAACTCAACAATAGGGGAAGTGGGTATGCTTGAATGGATGGTGTAGTTTTGTAAGACTAATGTGTTTAGGGTAGTGGGGTTTCAATATGTATTGGATATGGTTCTAGGGTCAGTTGGAATAAGGTCTCAACTTGATGAGTGTTATGTAGTCTCTTTAGTTTGACCAAATGGTCAACCCACATAAATTTCATAAATGGGCCTGTATAGTTTATTATAAATGGGTTGATTTAGGTTAACCATTGCACTCCCAAAACATTATCAACACCCAAGAGTTCCAAAGGGTAGAGATCTACCTAGAATTTTAGAGAGGATAATGTTATGGTGGTATTTAAGCAAATGATGGAGCATGGAAGAAAGTATTTGTTGTCAATCATAACACAAAATGGTGAGTTAGTGGGCTATTGAGGCAACTGAAGAAGCTAAAAGACTTTGTTGGATGAAATTATGGGTTGCCCCATTTTCTACGAGGATCTAGGTTGCACAACCTTTTAATAAATCCAATGAGACAAAATGTACATGGGGTCCATTGGTTCGAGAATGTGTGTAGGCTTATGAGTCTAGCCTCTAGGTTCAAGTTTTATGGTGGATCTGAATCTGTTTCATCACTTTTGTAGAAACTTTTTCTTTCTTCCTTTCTTTCTCAACATCAATATCTTCATTATTAACTGAAATTGGCTCATTGGGTTTTTCATTAACAATAAAATCATTACCAACACAATTCACATTGACACTTTGATGCATTGTTTCAGATTCCATACTATAAATTAATTTGAAAAAAAAAAGTCAAAAATTCATATATTAAAGAGATATACGTATAAATTAATAACAAACAACAAATAATGTATAGATGCTACAATTTTCAAATAAAGATTCATCAATCCAATTGTTTAGGTTATCGTACGAATTCTTACCTTTAAAAGCGGTACAGTGGGTACGGTGATGTAGTGATACGATGAACAGATGATAAGATAGTGCAACAATAAACGTAGTGCTGCTATGAACAACTGATAGGATTTGACTTGTTGTGGCGACAACGACAATATAGGATAGAGATGAGGCAGGATAACATTTAGGGTTACTGAAGTATTATAATTGTTTTTAAAATTAAAAATATAATTATTAATTAGGGTTAATATATATTATAATTATTTTTAAAATTAATGGTGGGTTGCGGGTCAACCCACCATAACCCGGCTCGAACCCGTTTAACCCGTGGGTTAAGTGAGTCGGGTTCATTTTTAGCTCATAATCGGTAGAAATAAAAAATTGAACCTTACACTGATGGTCGTGGTAGTAACGTTCATCGTAGTTGGAACAATAGTTTTTTTCTCGATGAGCTTGTATTATTGCTTTTATAAGTTTCTTTATGAGATGTGGGGGTGGTTAAGAGAGGAGGAAGTGGATTTAATGATTATGTATGGGTGGTGGTGGTGTTGATGACTTTGGAACATGTGTGAAGGAAGAGGGAATGTGTTTATGATTATCCTCATCTAACATAGCAAATGCAATTGCCTGAGGAAGGTCATCAGGTTAGGAAGCTAACACCTTACGATGTAAATTGGATTTGAGGCTAAAGGTGAAACAACTCAAGTAAAAATTGGTGGGATATCCAAATATGTGATTGGAAATTGTTTCAAACTAAGAGAAGTATTCATCTAGAGATTGAGTTTGAAATAACTTACACCGAGCAATTATTGGGTCATCGAACTTAGAAAGGTCAAAACATAGTTCATGTGCTCTAAGGAAAGACTTTTGTGATGTGAGGATATTGTTGTGGAATATCGATTGATACTAAACTAGAGTTGGTTCCTCCAAATAGAATGATGTAATCTAAGTGTGTTGCTTTGGTGATAATTGAAAAACTAGGTGACTTTGAACATCCACCACAAGGCATCAAATCTTGGAGTTAGGGAGGTCAAAACAAAAGTGTTTTGTGGGAGATGGGATGTTGGCTACGGTTGTGATCATTTGTTAGTTTTCAAGGTGGAAGGTGTGTTAAGCTAAGTCATGAAGTATAAATATGCATGGAAAAGAAAGAGCTTTTCAAGTTGGTGTTCAATGTTAAGAAAGATTGCAAAATGGTCAACCATGGGAGAGAAGAAAAAGGCTCAATGAAAGGGGTGTAAGAGAGAAGTGAGATATTTAAAAGGAAGCAATGACGGAGAAATATTTGTGATTCATCTTTTTCTACCTCAATACCTACTATATGTGTGCCTTGTATGCACTGATACAAGAAAAACACTATCATAAAGAAATATTTTTAATCATTACATCCTATGTAAAATAACATAATTGGTTCCTATTGTCACAGGTAGTCTTACACGTAATATTGGATGTAATCCTTCATACGAATAGGATCTTGAATCTTCCTTCTAGATTTCTCTTCACTAATGTCAACTATCATATTTGGGTAAAGATTAATGAGCATACGAGTACCTTCTTCTTAGATAATGGGTGTAGTACTTAGGATAGTTGTACTTGGGATCATTCAACAATAGTATTACAATGGAGAAAAATACATGTTCTTTTTTCTAACTTGAAAATAATTGATTTTAAGATTCTGTTGAGTTTTGTATTTCAAAAAATTGTTACAAAATCATTTTAATTTTATAGAATTATCCCTCGTTTGAGAGAATTAGTTTGAGACAAAAATATTGATACACAATGAAGATAACTATAATTTAGAAAAGGTTACCTATTTCATAAGATATTTTGAGCTTTTATTGTGTAAGAATATGATTTTTTGAAAATCATTTCAAATAACACTACCAATTAAATTAAAACACAAATATGAATCAAAGATATATAAAAGAGACAAGGAAACTTATAATGAAACAACGTAAAAATAAACTTTTGAACAAAAGTGAAAAAAATATTAAAAAATCATAATGATTTTATAGAGTGACAAAGTTTTGTTATGAAAGGTAACTCACATTTAAAAAAATTGGTTGCGATCGAGATACTGATTCACAGTAAAGTCAACTAAAGCTTAGGAAATGTTACCTCTTTCACAAAACATTCCAAATTTGTGTTGTACAAAATTAAAATTTTACAAAAATCATTTCATAAAACACTAGTCATCGTAACGACAACATAAATATGAAAGAGACAATAAACATTATTATGAAACACCGCAAAATCAAACTTTGGAAAAAATAAATAAATAAATAAATAATTATAAAAAAACTATTATGATTTTACAAAATGACGGCTTCTACAATAAAGGAGAATTGATTGCAGAAGAGGGGTTAATAATGAAAGTAACTAGAGCTTGGGAAAGGTTAATAAGGGATTTGAAATTTGCAATGCACGAAAACAAGATTTTATGAATCATTTCATGAAAGACTACGAATCAAATTGAAAACAAAAAATTAAAACAAATACATATTAAAGAGATAGAGAATATTATGAAACATAGTCATATCCAACTTTTTGAACAAAAAACGAAAGAAAATCATTATGATTTTATAGTGACAAAATTTTGTTGTGGAAGGTGGCCTATATTTGGAAGAATTGGTTACAAAAGAAGTATTGATCTAAGTTGAAGGCAACTAGAGCCTAGGATAGGTTGTCCTTTTACAAGACATTTTGAGCTTGTGTAGCTCAACAACAATATTTTATAATAATCATTTCACGGAACACTACTAATCAAATTCAAACATAAATATAAAATAAAGATAAATGAAAGAGACAAAGAATATTATAATGAAATGTTGTGAAATCAAATGTTTAAAAAAAATGATAAAAATAATTACTAGAAAACCATTATGATTTTTCATAGTGACAAAACTTCATTAAAAAAAGTTACCGCATCTGGAAGAGTTGGTCGTGGGAAAGGTATTGATCCACAGTGAAGAAAACTAGAATATGAGAAATGTTGCTTCTTTCACAAGACATTTTAAGTTTGTGTTGCACGAGATTTGATGAAAATCATTTCATCAAACAACTATCCATCAAAGTAATACACAGATATGAAACAAAGATAAATAAAAGAGAAAATAAATATTATGATGAAACACAATGAAATCAAATTTAAAATGAAAAAATAAATAAAATAATTATTAGAAAACCATTATAATTTAAGTGACAAATTTTTATTGTAAGAGGTGACTCCTTAAGAGAATTTGTTGCAAAAGAGGTACTGATCCACAATAAAGACAAACTAGATCTTGGAAAATGTTACCCTCTCTGAGTTTGTGCTGCGCGAGAACATGATTTCATGAAAATTATTTCACAAAATACTGCCAATCAAATTAAAACACAAATATGAAACAAAATAGATGAAAGAGACAAAAAATGTTATAATAAAACACTACAAAATAAAACTTTTGAACCAAAAAAAAATCATTAAAAAATCTTAATAATTTTTTAGTGAGAGAACTTAGTTACGGAAGGTAACCCATATGTGAGAGAATTGTTTATGAAAGAGATATTGATTCAGAGTAGAAGCAACTCAAACTCGAAAAATGTCACAAAACATTTTGAGTTTGTCTTAGTACAAAAACAAAATTGCACAATTTGTTATTCATGACATACTACCTAAATCCTAATCATTACAAATCAAAATAACATCAATCAAATTTTTCAAAAAAAAAAAAATCGGATAAAAGCATATTTAAACCTCCTCTCTCTATATATACATTTCAAAAACTCAATATTTATAAGTTGGGACAAGAAAACAAATAAAAAAAGTGCCTCAAGGAGGTTAAATCTGTACATAAATAAAATTTTCTAAAAACTAAGATCAGTTTATACATAAATCAAAATCAAATTGTAAAAACAGTAAAGATTAAGTGTTGGTAAAGTTCAATTGCAATTTGTCTCAATAAACATGAGTAGTTGTGGCTAATTCTGTAGACACACAATGTAACAATATGACCTCCCTGACTAACTTGTTTTGCAACTCTGTTATAACTATTTTTGAGGAGTCCTATGTTCAATTGGATTAAACCCTTGAGTAGAATATTACTATCATTACAAGAGTTTATAATATAATTTCAGATTATGAGAGCTGCATTTAGGAGTTCATTCCAAATATCAGGTAGCCCTGGTAGGCACCAGTGACTGCAGTCATTGCCTGCATGGTCCCCACTATAGGCAGAGGGATGTGCATCTTTTCTTAGTTGTGAGAGAAGTGTAATGTCAAGTAGATAAACTTTACTCTTCATGTTCTTCAACACTTTGTTCACTATGTTTGCTGCAGGAGGTAGACCAGCAGGATATGTAGAGCCACCTAATGGTTCAAGTTCTCCACTGCAGCTCTTTCTTGGTTCATTCCACTCTTGACCTCTGTTCAAGGGACCATCATCAAATGCATTGCAGTTAATTAATGTTTGTTATGATTGGCAAAGGACTTTTAAGGACCTGGGCAAATGAGAGTTACTTACTGATAATGAGTAGGAGAAATGCCTTGAAAGAAAACTTTGGTTTTGGTAGGGTTTATATTTTGATCAACCCATTGAGCCCATGTGGTCATCCCTTTATAAAAGGCCTCCAAACGGTCCATGTCCTTTAGGAGACTGGGACCGTCTCTAATGTAATCCCATCTGAAAGGAAAATGAACCAATCAATTATCAATTAGGTGTTGCCAAGAATATCAGAAATCCAATCAAGTATACCCTAACTTGCTTCAGCTTAAAGCATTTTCTTTACAAATGTGTTAAACTAGAATATTCAATTTAAGACTCAGATTTTATAACACTTGTTTATTGAAATACTATGTGATTTGATACAGTGTGGTAGTATTCAAATTAAGCATCAATATTGAATCTTTTATAAAGTATGCGTTAAAATAACTTGGGATATCAATTATTACGTGAATTTAGCCCGTCCTGTGTGTTCCTTCTCTAGTCCCATAAAATAGACGGGATGGGTTCGCAATGAGTACAGGTTATTTTTATATATTTTTTTTAAATATATTTTTAATTATATGAATAATTTTTAAGTTTTTATTTATTAATTAATATTTTTATTAGATAAATTGAAAAAATTATTAAATTTATTTATCAAAATAATTAATTATAATTAATAATTAATTTGTATAATTTAAATTATAATATATTTTAATAATATTAAAAAAATTAAATATTATAATTATTTTTATTTTAATATATAAATATTATTTTAAAATAAGCAAGCAAACGGAATTGTTAACTTTTGACGCAGAATCAAGCTAACCGTTTTGTCATGGAATTAATCCTACAATATTAACATACCCTTGAGAGTCTCCTTTGTGGGTCCACCAATGCCAGGAGTTGAAGATTAACATGTCCATGTCTATCCAAGCACTACCCGCTTGAATGGAGTCCAGTGTGAGCACCCTTCCAACTTCTTCTCGAACAATGTCCACCAAATATGGTGTGCGGTATAGTTGTATGGTTACTCCATACTCCTGCACAAACCCATCAACCATTCTCATTTCGGTGCTTCAGATTAAATTTCAACTTCAATCATTATAAAGTGAAAGATGAATGCATAAACCATTCACGTGCAAAATAGTAACTTGTCCACACATCTTTATTATACTCAAATAATTGAAATTTTTATTACCAAATCCATATGACTATTTATATTTATTTATATAATGCAATTTAATTATATTTTTAATTAATAGTAAATCTCAAAAACATCTTTGTTTAAAATGGATTAATAAATAATATTTACATTTATTTATAAAATATAATTTGATTATATATTTAATTAACACCTCTCACCTTCACATTCGAGCGTGTCATTATATATTCAAAGTGGTTTAGTAAATGATTTTAACAAATTTTACTGTAAAATCTATGCTATGATTTTAAACATATTTTTAATTAAAGTAGAAAACTTTGAATCAAAATTTATAGTTTTTCTCTTTTATATAGAATCTTGTGAGCTTCTAGGAGTAGGAGTGATCCTACATTTTTTTTTTTTCCTTTATTTGCTATTTTGTTACTACTAATTTATGGAATGTTTGCACACATTATGCATTGTGGGGTTGGACATGTGCCATAAATGAGTTTTAATTATTACGATATAACAAGAGAGATGTTAATGTTATATGCGATTGATATTGATTAAAGTTAATGTGTAGAATAATGAAATTGCAAGAGAGGCTCCAAGTTGTACTCGCACACAGGTTGGCAAAAGGGTGTGACAGCCTGTCAAGTCTTATTCATGTGTATCTTAATGGAAAAAAAGAAAAAAAAATTGTGACTTCTGTTTCTGACTTAATCTTGTTGAACCAAACATCATTTTATGTACAATTTTATTTTATCACTTCCCAACATTTTCAACTTGCTTTTCACGGCATTATCATTATTCAAATTAAGTTAAACGGTTGCTTTCATTCACTTCTTTTCCTGTTAGACCAAATTTACAAATAATGTCCTTTCCTACTTGTTTCTACTCAAATTTAAAGTTTTATTTTGATAATTTATATTTTATGAAAAACAACACTAACTATATTCATTAGGATATACCAAATATCAAATCATTTTTTTGTGAATGGGTTTCTATTGTTAGCATTCTTCAATTGGTTGAAATATCGAAACAAATTACTCTATGTATTTTGTAAGAAGGATTAATAAAAATGTTGAAAAACAAAAAAAATCTCATAAAATATAAAAAAAATCACTTTAATCCGTAAAATGTTTTACTTTTTATTTCATCCCTCCATATCTTTTACTTCAGTCCTCATTCTTGTATCAAATTATTAAAGCTTAATCAATTTACTTCATTCCTTGTAAATATTTGTCAAAATCTAATCAAAATATTGAGATAAAATATAAATTTATTTTTTTCCTTATATAATGATACGTAGATAAATAAATTTAATATATATATATATATATATATATATATATATATATAGATTATAAAATATATATATATAGAGAGAGACTGTGTGAGAGTAAGAGAAAGTAAGACACACGTGAGAATGTTGTATTTAGTAGGGTTTAGAGTAGTATATCCGAATGGAGACAAAGAGAACGAAAAAAGAGAAAAGAAATTGAAGGATACCTGGAAGGTCACAGTGGACAAAGCTTCTCTCCTCACAAAAGTGGTGGTGGCATTGGGCACAGCCGCGTGAAGCATGCACGATAATGATTCCCACATGTTTAGACTCAGTGAGTCACCCACAAACATTATCTTCTTACCCCTCCACCTGTTCAAGAAATCCACTCCATCGAACCTACAATACAGAATTTACAATCTCAATAACAAACATATATTTCTTAATAACACATTGTAATTTCAAATAAGGAGTCCCTACTCTAAAATATATTTCTTCACTGAGAAACTGCATGCTCTGTTTTCAATTTGAAAGTATGTTGAGCTAGATTTCAGACTTTTTTTTATAATATTTTGGCCTGAGTTTTAGTTTAAAATGAAAAAAAAAATTAAGAAATGATTTCATTCAACTTAAGTATACAAATTTGAATCCAACCATGCTGACGGTAGCAGATTGAAGAATTATTATCAAACCCCATGGTAGAGAAAAGCAGAAGAAAGACCATGGAAGCTTGTCCTTGAATCTTTGCAAGAAAAATGATAACTTGTGTTGAACCAAGTTGTCTATTCTAAGATTCACTAATCTACTACTTGTAGTAATTGCAAAAGGAGAATCTGGTAATTAAAGTAAATATGCATTTTGGTAAGCTTAAATAACACTACCTGGGTAAGACACACGAATCAGGCTTCCAAGAGTATTTGAGATACTGCTTGTCGGGTCTGCCATACTTTTGGCAATCAAACTCAGCATCTATAAAGGGGCAGCTTGAAGAGTCATAGAGAGGATGTGAAGGGTCAATCACCCAACTTCCAATGAACAAATTACACCCACCGACTATTTCCTTTTTCCCCTTCAAGCGAGTCACATTAGAGTTATGAGACTTTGCTGCTCTTGCTTGGTGCAAGGACGCAACCAGAAACAAAGTGAACAAAACCAAGGTATTGACTTTGGAACCCATGGTTTGGTTCCTACTGTTTTGAGGACCCCAAGCTGAGGGAGATAAGAACAGGCTTGTACTTGTTTGTTCAGTTGTGTGTGAGCTTATATAGGAGAGAGAAGGTAAAGAAAACGATTGTCCTTTGTGGTGGGTTCACATGGAGGAGGTGGTGCTTGTGAACTTTGAATATTATTATTTTTGTAACATGAGTTGGGAGATCTTGGATGGATTCGTTATGGTGCCCTATGTGGACTTGTGGGTTTGAAATTGATGAGCCTGTTTTATGGGGAAAATCAAATGTTACTGCATTATTATTGGGATGGAATTGTTCTTTTCCCTTCCACTGGCCCTGCACCATGTCACGGGGCACATCCAATCACTGTAATATATTTCATTTCCATATATCTTATTTTTTGTCAAAGTTAGTCGGTAGATATTATAAAAAACAAAATTTTATTTTTATAATTTTTACCTTTTGAAAATTCAATCTTGGTGTTAAATCAGGAATATTATTAAAAAAAAAGATAAATTTTTAATAATTGCTATATTTTTCAAATTGATTTCCTCTTTTACTTTTATAAAAGATAGGAACATATATCTTTAAATTTTGTTCTTTAAAGATTTATTTATTGAGTTATCAGATAAATACAAGAAATCTTCAAATTTTAAAAATATTATTTATTTTTCTACAAAATTCATAAGGATTTGATTAGAAGATAATTAGTTCATATCTAAGATTACATCTAATTGAGATAAATGTAAACAAATTAAATTCATAAGAAATTTATTATTTTTAATGAATAAAGGACAATCTAGACAAATTTTATTGGTGATTACAAATTTTCTCGTGGAAGTTGAAATAATCAAACTAATATCTAGAAAAGAAGTTGACAATTCAAGGTGTTGGACACAATCATTGGAAATGAATGAATGAGTTGCGCCTGAATCATACAGTACATTTAAAGTTTTGCCATTAATGAAGCATATACCTTGGATCAAATCATTATTTTGAGAGACTTCAGTTCTAGTAATGATATATACTTTTCCTATTGTCAGAAGTAATATTTTTAGTGTAGAAGGATTAAAATTTGGTTTTTGTTGTCAACATTCAGAACATATATGACCAGGTTTTTCACACTTGAAACAGATAGGTCATTTAAGATGACAATCCTTAGCATAATGATCTTGTCTACACTTAAAACACTTGAGCTGATTATTTGTACGGTTATTAAAATTTTCTTGCAGAAAATTGACTGGGTTGGGATCTCCATTGGGGGTGGTTGTAAGGTTTGTCTTCATTTTGTCTCCTTTTATTTTGCTGGGGTCCAAAATATTTTGGTTTACTATTTTGGTTTACTATTTTGATGGTTTTCAAAACCTGCACTTGTGAATAAGCATAGAAAAACAAATTTCTAATATTCCTACTATTTTTCTCAATTCAGGCCTAAGTCCATTCTTAAATTTAATACACTTCATTTTTTCATCAGGGTGATAAAAGAATGTAGAGTGCTTTTCTAACTCTTCAAACTTAGCGGCATATTCTCCTACTATCATATATACATCATTGCTTTAATTGCATAAACTCTATTTCTTTTGCTCTCCTCACATCATTGGGATAATATTTTTCTAAAAATTTTGTTCTAAACACCTCCCAAGTAATGATTATTCTTCCTTCTTCTAGTAATCTCCTGGTACTGTCCCACCAATATTCAACCTCTCATATCAACACAAACACAGCGTAATTCACCTTTTGGTTATCAGGACAATTCATAACTTGAAGTATTTTTTTCAATTCTTTAGTCCATAATTCAGTCCCTTTTTGGGTTATAACCTCCATGAAATTACGGAGGTTTGTTTCTCCTAAATTCAATTAAACCTTGTGATTCATTGGTTCCTGATCGATGTCGTACTCGGTCAAATAATTAAAACAGATAAATGTAGTACTAGGAAGCTTTCCTAGGTCGTCTCCCAAAGATCACGAATTTCTATCAAAGCTTATCAATTTTTAGTATCAAAAAATTAAAAGGGGAGTTTTCCAAAATTAAAATATTAGATGAAACAGAACAAAATCATATTATAAAAATGCGGATTGAAAACATATTAAAATGCAATTGATTTCCTGATTCTAATGCAGTGTCACTTATCCTAGATTACGAAATTAATTCGAAATTAATCAACTAAGCGAAGATAAATCTCAAATTATATTCTAATTCAAAATTAATCAACTAAGCGAAGATTAATCTCAAATTAGCTTTAACCCTTGTTCCAATATGAAATTAACCAACTAAGCGAAGATTAATCCCAAATTTTCCTTAACCCTTATTCCAACATGAAATTAACCAACTAAGCGAAGATTAACCCCAAATTATCCTTATACAATTAAGCATTGCATACATCACATAATCTCATCTCTAACACAGAATTAAGCAAACTATGATATTAGTTTCGATTTATTAAGCATAAACAGATTATAATTCAACACTGAGATTAGAAGATGAAGAGTTAAGAGAACAAACAAAATGAAATTGAAGAACAAAACCTCAAACATATACTTGCATTCTTCTCAGAAAATCAATACAAAGATTTAGCTATCCATGGAAAGTTGAAAACGCAATAGAAGAAACATAATTAAAATCGAAACAAGAATTTAAAAATAATGACAGAAGAGTAAACAAACTTGAATATAAATTGCAGAAGATGAAAGGTGGAAGTGTGGTGGCTGCGTAGTCCTTGTGTGATGTCTCCCTTCTGATGTGTGATGTGCCTTTCTTATATAAATAACCCTAACCCTAATCTTTACTGAGGTTTGGGCTCAACTGGTCCATGAAACACATCATAAGTTGGCTTTAGTGCAGGTCCGTGAACTTAAAACACATGCAGTATTTTCAATACTTATCCAAATTAAGCGATTTTAGTATCCCTTTAAAGCCTTTTGAGTTAGCTTTAAAACGCCACCATTGCTACTATTTTTGGAGGTCTAATGAATTTAGGAGACTTAAATTACTGAAGCATGTCCATTGGGCCGGCCTGGTGCGCTTGACCCGTGTTGGATAATTTATGTAAAATCCCATTTATCTCCGAATTGAATGATTTTGGATCCTATGGAAAGCTGAATGTGTCTAGTTTATAATTTTTTGGAAATAATGATTTTTGGAGATCTCTAGAAAAAATGATAAATAAAACAGTAAACCAATGTTAGTACCCGTATAGAATAAAATATGACATTTGACCCAATTTTCCAAGCCCAAAATTGCTTTAAACTCGTAAAATGGCATCTAGCCCAATCTTCTAGGCCCAAAATTGCTTTAACTGTTCTAAAATTAATAATGAGAAAAAATTAGATCAAATAGATTTAAATTAATTAAAATCTAATTATTGGTCCAATGAAGCCCAATTAATAAAAATTCACTAATAATAGAAAGTTAAGCCCAAAACACTAATTAAAATAAGTTCAGAAAGGGAAGAAAATACGGGAATATAATGACTCATCAGCTTCCTTCAGGTCTTTGGTTCCTTAATAATGCAACAACCACATCTCGGATAACTTCTACCATTTCTGACAACTCGTTGTTCCTCCTATTATTTTCCATCTAGAATTATATAAGTTAGGATTCATAAGATCTCATCATAGTCTCATTTCACAGGTCACACATGAAAAGTTGCTCTGATACAATCTAATGTAGCATTTTTTTGGGTTAAGTATGTTTTTAGTCCCTATACTTTCATGTGAAATTGAAAATAGTCTCTCTATCATAGTTCACATAAAAATGATCCCTATACTTTTGAAATGAGTGAAATAAGTCCCTATTTTAAACGGCGTTAAGTATATGCTAATCTGTCTAACAGAAATGGTATGACCCATTCATTATTTGACACGTGTAATTATTTAAAAAAATAAAATTAAATTAAAAGGTGTCAAACTTTTAAAAGTCATTTAAATCCGTATTTATAACATTTAAAAGTTATTTAAAAGCCATTTAAAAAGAAATTTAAACTTCTATGCCATTTATAAGCCATTTAAACTTCTCTACCTTAATTTTTAGAAATGAAAACCCTAGCTATGGTATACCACCGTCACACACCGTCGTTGTGCACCACCGTCGCACTGTCGGTTGAACCACAACGAACCGATGGAACCCTCGAACTTCAAAGTCACTTTGACTTTATACAACCTTTACAGAGAAAGAGGAAGAAAGAAAAGGCCTTTGGTGTGTGACGAGAAAAAGAGAGAACGAAAAGTAGTTGTGACGAGAAAAGAAGAGAGAATGAAAAGTGGTTGTGACGAGAACTGAAGAGCTTTGGTGCATGAAGAGAAAAGAAAAACTTCAACTTTTTTTTTAAATAATAATATCGTTGAATAATTTCTATTTTTTTTTAAAGAAGAGCTTTTCTTTTAAAAAAAAATTACATGTGTCAAATAATGAATGAGTCATACTATCTCTCGTTAGACAAGTCACCATATATATTTAATGCAGTTTAAAATAGGGACATATTTCAATCATATCAAAAGTATAGGGATCATTTTTATGTGAACTTTGACAGAGGGACTATTTTCAATTTCACATGAAAGTACATGGACTAAAAATATACTTCATTTTTTTTATAAGGGTAACAGGTAAAATAAAGATATTTTATATATAAAAGTAATTTACATTACTAATTTTTTTACAAGATATATAAAAGAAGAATGAATTTTATTTATTTTTATTCCTTCTATTCTTACTACAATTATACAAATATTTATATTGCCGATGGAAACAAACTGATTAAGGGGTTTTGGGAAATGGTAGGAGGCATGCAGAAGGTGACCACTATTGGTCCATCTAGCATGATGAGAGTTCCCATATCAGATGTAAATGTTAATATTGATAACCCTGTCCCTTTAAGAGTAATCGAGTTGTCAATGATGTTTGTGTTCCAAGTAGTTCCTGGAAAGAAGACAGTGATGTTTGCAGAAAAGAGATTTGAGATATTTGGTGTCTCCATCTACTTAAGTTGATATTTAAATATAACATGTACAA